GATTTTATGTGCATGAGTAGTTACATTTTTTTCTAATGGAAAGGAAAAGTAATGTTAAAGGAAACTTTCTAAGGTGTTTATTTGTGAGTAGAAAGAAAAAATGATTCCTATTCATTTCCGGGCTCTGCCATCCCAAGGTTAGACATTACAGGATGGAGAAAATAAAAGCTTTGAAGCAGTAGTTACTTCTGTATTATATTGAAGAAATAAAAGCCTTCTATTCTAAGATCTCAAAACCCCAAAGTTCTGTTTTTAGTGAAATGGCTTGCTGTATGCATGCATTGTCTCATTTGGCTAGTCTTCCCCTTGAGGATGTCCCAGGAACCACAGACTGTTATTGCATGCACATTACAAAGATCCTTCCTAATAGCAAATGCTGTCTACGCCTGCTGAGCCTCTCCACTGTAGTCCTCTGTGCATTGTTGGAATCTACTGAGTAGGTGCCAAAAATATCCCATGAGGATACTCAGTGTGAGTGATCTCATCCTGTCCTTTTATTCTGTGTACCTTGCTTCTCTTTATTTAGCAAATCCCATTTTTGTTTTCTATGTCCCACATCAATCATCGTAGTGATGATGTATTTTGTAATACAGTATTTCTCAATATTTTATATCTATGGAGCATGTATATAGAAAATATTTCACTTGATTTAAGCATTACAATCAGTTGCAGGGGGGAGGAAGGGTAGGGACAATGACACTTGTGATATTTTGGCAAGACCTAAAAGATTTGCCATTGACTTCTATTACTGGGCTCAGCTTTTGTGGCAGATTGTGACAAGCCTCGAGGATTAAGAAGGAGCCAGTAGAAGATATAATCCTGTTTCTCATTCCTTCTAAATCTGTATGTTTCATACTCTAGTCCTGAGGTTTCTTTGCTTCGCTCCCTTTTATCAGGACTTTACCTGCCTCCTGGTCTTGAGAGCCCCTCCAAGTACTTCTGTTAATTGTGCTTCTCCTTCTGAACTCAGAGATGCTGAAAATGTACAAGTATCTGAGAGGTAGAAAGCAGTCTTTAGTCCATAGATACGTATTCATATGGTTTTTTATACCTCCAACTCTGAGTTTCTTGATTGAGAATGTACTATTCAGACAGCATTTATTGATCATCATGGTTTACTGAGTACTCTACTCATTGTTGCATATACAAAGATGAATGGTCTTAGCATACTGCCAGTTTAGAGTCTATTGGGGGTGGTGGGAGGTCAGCATTTATAGCAAAGGAAGGAAGCAAAGGTGCACCAGAGAAGGCCACCAGACCTGGAGACACCAGACAGAAGATACTGGAGAAGATTTCCTCAGAGAAGAGGACATCTGAGTCAAGTCCTGAAGACTAGAAATTGTGTGGCCATTTGAATCTGAGGTTATGGGTTCTGAGGTATATGCTCCAGATGACAAGAACAAAGACTGAAAGGCTTAGTTAGTTCTTTTAAAAACAACCCATTCTAGAATTTGTACCTTCTCTATGGTTGACCATTAGGGATTTCCCAAAGAAAATGTTCAAGGGACAAAAATGTATTGCAGCCACATCTAGGAAATACTTAACAGAAAAAAATGAGTGTGAAATGAGGATTTAGATAAAGTAAAATCTTAAACAAACACTGTTGCCTCAGATGAGTGAAATGTTAACATCAAATGGAAAAATCATTCCCCTGTGGAGAAAAGATCTGGTTATTTGGGATTAAGTTCATTATGATAACATAAGACATTATTATGATAGCAAGGGAATTTATTACCATTTAGCCACTTTTGTTCATTGCTATATTATATAGGCCCAGGATTTCATTCATATCTCTAAAGAATTAAAGAGGATCACAATAAAGCAAGTAATAGGAAGTACTAGGGCCCTAAGTCTTTAAAAACTATTAAAATAGGGAAGTACTTGAAATCTTACATGAGGCCTATTAGTATTAAAGGTGAAAAGAGAAAGTGTGGAAGTAGTTGGAGGAAACAGACTTAGGTATTCACCATTATGATGGAGTTAACAAAATAATGGTACAATGCCCTAGGATCAGTCAAAAAGGTTTTGTTTTGGAGCTGGGGGTCTCTCTGTATTGACCAGGTTTGTCCTGAACTTCTGGGCTGAAATGATCCTACTGTCTCAATCTCCCAAGTAACTGGAACTGCTGGCTCAAAACATCTTAAATGCTTTACTTTCTACCCCTTCTTCTGCCTTTTCTAACATCTCTTCTTGGGGAAGGAAAGAAAGAAACAGAATATAAGGACGAATAAGATCCCATAACCATGGACTTTTCACATAGATTCAATTCCTCTTTGTTGCACCTTCAGAACATTTAATTTAATTCCTACAATGATCAGGTAAAGGGGAATAAGTCAATTGAAAACTACAGCTCAAAGAATCTAAGGGTCCAGAGAGAAGAGTCCTGGTTAGAACAGAGCACTAAGTGGGAGTTAGTTATACTGTGGCTTCAGAGCTAACCTGTTGTTGCATATTGAAATTGTGACATTTTTTAATCTTTCTTATTGTCTCTCTTTTTGATCTCTGTTATGTCTTGGAGCTACATATGACTGGAATCATCTAGCTACATTGTTCTAACTGCAAGAATACACTTGGTGCCAGTTTCCTAGTCAAGCCGTATGGTTTGCCTCCAAATATGTTATTGTGTTTTCATTAGTTTTGTGTGTCTCAGGAATCGTGTTTAGGCCATTTTCTGTATTATTCTATGGCAGACTTCATATAGGAACTTAAAAGCTCCTAAAAAACTCCCTGGTAGGTTATATAAATATATAGGTTATATATAAACAATACCAGCTAACATTTATTGAGCACTTGCTAAGTAGACAGTTGCATTTTACTTAAGCCTAACAGCAACCCTGTGAGGGAAGAAGGTGAATGAGGAAGTGTAGGTACCATGGTTCTTACACAGATAGTGTGGAGTAGGGCCAGGTTTACACACAGGTCTTTTGGCTCCAGCCCACACTCCACATCTCTGCTATACGAATTATGCAGAATATGGCATATAAAAGGTCTTTATTAGTTTATCTCAGTTAATGCAGTTGAAATTCATGATTCTTCCTAAAATGGAGTTGGTTGTTCATTAAAATCGAAGAGGCTGCTTTCACACCAGATGTAGCTCTCACTCAAATAATGAGAACAAAGTAAGAGCTCCCTGTAGAAAATGTTCTTCAGAGGCCTACAGATTATTCACTTTGTTTGAAGTCAGGCTTAGAATTCACTGTGACATGCCTCATTTGAGTTATATTAAATGTAAGAAGACCTGACAACTGCAGAAGTTCGAATGTTCATCATTAATTTCAGCTGTTTAATTTAGCTTCTATGACATGTACAAAATTTGAAATCATGAAAGGAAAATAGATAAGTAGAAATTGAAGCAAAAATGGGGTTCTCTTTTTATATTTATAAATTTCCTTTTACAGCTAGGTCCAGAAATGTATAACTTTTTTTGAATATGAAATGTCTAGCCACTTCATATATATTTAGCACTAGTATTTATTTGACTGAATTAAGGCAATAGAGTTTGTCTTTTAAAAAAAATCAACACAAGAATTCATTAGACTTCCCTTCCCATTCATTCATTCATCCAAAAACTATGTATACCATTTACTCCTTGCACTAGCTTAAAGATACTAAAACCTTTTGATTACTGGTGAATTGTAGATTTGAAAGGTTTTCATGTAAACACAATTATCAAAAATTCATTACCTCTGGCTATCTACTTGGTCTGACATCAATCTGGAGATGTAAACTAGGTATAGGTGCTGTGTTTAAACAGGTCAAACATTGAGATGGCTAAAATGATGGTGATATCATATGTGGTGTGTTTGGATCCAAAAGGAAATAAGAGAAGCATTTTGCTAGAATGTGCTAGGTTGAGCTTCAAATATTAATTTAGACTCCTGCTGCTTAATACTTAAAAAGGAGCCTAATCATAACCAGAAGAAACAATCAAAGGTCGTCAGAACTAACATTTGAACTGTCCTCTACAGAAGTGCTTCTGAGGCCACATCTATATTGGAGGCAGCATTGAGGAGGATTAGCGGGTAAAAACCTGGTTTCTACTCTTAATACTTCTTTTGTTTATTCTTGACCAAAAAGATCTATGGCTAAAAGAAACTTTGAAAAAAGGGGGCATTCAGGTCAGTTCACACAATTTAGTGAGCAAACTGAAGCTCTGTTATACTCCAAGAAGAACAAATAGCTGTGTGAGAAAGTGAACCCTAGTGTACTGCACCACCTGGACAAGCAGTGATCACTTTTACATGGGTATTAGACCAGAATGATATAAATTCTGAGTATAGCGTTAACTACAGATTTGTGACATGTGCGCACTAGGAGCATTGGAGATAATGAAGGAGAGTTTGAGAATGGAAGTGAGGTTTATGAGAGAATTAAGTCCTCGTCTTCCCCAATAAGAAATCAGTAAATAATGTCTAAAATTGAGTAATCAAAAAAAAATAGCATGATAAACATACTATTTTAAATGGCGACATAAAGAAGAAAATACTTTAAAAAGTCAAATGTGCTCATGGTAAGAAGGGAGGCAAAGGTACTGCTGTTTTCTGTGCATCTACTATTTTTACAATGGAAATTAAATGTATTTTGAAACAGGAATGTACACATTTGGGTTCTATGTATGCCTCCTGTCCTTCACAGATTGCTGCTGGTATTTTTAAGGAGCTCATTCCTTGAAAGGGAAAAATAAGAAGAGTATTAGAAGTGAAACTTCACATCAAATGATACAAGGACTTAGGCTTGAGAGGTCAAATTTGTAGTACAGGATTCCCAAATAAATCACTTATGCCTTTGGCTATTCATTTGGTATCCACCCTAAATTATTTCAGGAATAGAAGTTGCCTCTAGAAAGAGAGTAAGAGCTTGACTGTGCAGAAGTTTTGAAACAGCCTGCACTTAGGAGACAATAACTCTTGATAGTTCCTGTTTTTCCTATAGTTACACCAATTTCAATGAGAATTGCTCCCTAACTACTATTTTTGATATATCTTCTTTCTTTAAAACAGGGAAATGCACATAAAATCATGGAGAAATGTACATTACCACTGACTGGAAAACAGTGTGTCAACCGTATTATTACAGAAAAGGTAAAAATGCCTTTTTTATTTCCTGTAATATCTGTTACCACCATTTTATAATCTAGAAGTGTTATTTGGCTTTTTTATTACCTTCTGAAAATATATTATGTCAGTAATGTTAGGATTAATTTGGTCTGTGGATAGAATGAGTAGGGAAATTCATCAATTCGGTGTTTTTAAATGTAGAATTTCTCATGTACAACTCTCTAGAAATATACGTGTACACACCAGATCAAGCTATTATTTTGGCACTTTGATAGGGTGATATTATCAGAAAAGATTTTATATTTTGACTATTAAAACTTTAAGCTGGATTATATATGTAAATTTAAGAGTATATTTATTGTCTCCTTTTCTTCTTTGCTTTGCCAAATTGCAAGTGTAAATTGTTGGATTTTCATTTTAGGAAACTCAGTCAAAATTGAGTTTTAATCACAATCACTCGAGTGCAAATTGCAGTATAGACCTCACAATAAGCCAAGAAATTTATTTTATTTCTTGCATGCTTTCCACCCTCTTTTATAAAGTGGGACATCAGAACATACCAGACATTTCAGTGCCTCTCTAGTTTTTTCTTCTTAGGTGGAAAATGTTAGCCAAAGGTACAGCTGAAAGCTTCTCAGATCAGGAGAAGAATCGTGGATATCTGTCTACAGTCACCTTTCTGTCCTAGATTTGAACTTAATATGTTAAAATGTTATGATTTCTATTATCAGCTGAGAAGAAGGCATTTTCTTATCTATTATCTTGATGAAACCACAGAACAGAATTACTGTTTTTTCCCCTTCATCTCAATGATGCGTCTCCCATGGCTAAGAGCCGTAATAGTAGTGTCATGTGTTAATCTGGCTTACTCATCCTCTTTTGAGGGATGGGAAGAAGCATCCTAGAGCAGGCCTTTGAATTAAGTTAGGTTCAGAATACTTTCTAGAAGCCACCTTTTAAGGAAGGCTTGATCCAGTCATGCTTCTTAGGACTACTGTTTATGTGGAATTTGTAGGATGACTTATAGAAAAGAACAAGTGCATAAAATGGAAGAATGTTTTATCTCACTATTTATGCTCACAGTTTTTATCATTTCTTGAGTCTCCTCCAAACTGTGAATGAGGATTGTTGAGGGGATCTGTTGCTTTGGTAATAAAGGTAAACCAGACCTTCATACTGTTTACTTTAATAAAATGGTAGCCCTGCTAGGGATGATTCAAGCAACATTCTTCCCCCCATCTGATCTTCCTCTTCACCCGAGCCAGCCTCTTCCCTCTGCTCTGTCCATGTGCACCTTGCCCTCATCTCATTGGTTCTATGTTTCTACATGCAGAGACTCCCACTCCACTCTCTGTCCCCTCAAATTGTACTCATCTTTCTTTAAGCCTAATGCAATTTCCATATTCACCACAAAGAGATTTTGTACCTTCTTCACACACAAAGATTTCTCATCCTCAGAGTGGACCATTTACACTGGTACTTATCCAGTACTTGCATGCATTTTTTATAACATAACTTATATTGTTATTTAAGTGTACTGCCAATTAAAATCTTTTATACCATTCATATCCATTGCATTGTTGTTTTATTCACCTGTCCATTTTATAAGCTTCTTTTTGATCCCATCCATGGAACCAGACTATTTCCAGCAGTGGGTTACAGAAAGGAGGAAGGAAGACACATTCAACAGGGTTAGACAGCAAGCATCCAGCATCACCAGCAGTTAGAGTAATGAACACTGTAGAGGCCATAGTAGGGATTGCACTAGATGCTAAGTTAGGAATCTGAAGGAAAGCTCCCTGACAACCTGGGCAGTAGTACAAATGAAAGCTTTTAGGTGGTATCATATGCAAGCTTTTGATGTGTTTTGCAAAGTACTGCACAGTTTGTACCTTTCCTTCTCAAGTCTCAGTTTTTTCCTTTTTTTCTCAGTGAAGTATTTTCCCACTTCAGCCATACTGAAATGCTGTGAGCTCTTTTGCATTGTTTTGTGTACCATGTTCATCTGGAACATTGCACATCCTATATCTCTCCCTGGAAGGTTCTTCCCACGTCATTCATCTGACTGATTACTGTTCATCTTTTGCTCAGCTATTTATTTCCTTTTTTTCTTTTTCTCTAGTAGCAAGTATTCCCTATCCATCTCCAAGTCTTCTGGCTTCCCTGAATTTTTGTACTTACTCTACTAATACTAACAACTGAAATTGAAGTAACTTCTAATCACTGCTTATTTCACTGCTATTTATCCAACAATTGGCATGATACCCAACCCATGCTTAGGTAAACTTATTAAATAAATGTAGCTTACTTTCCTTGCTGTGAAAAATTATAGTATTACCAGTGTTGAAAGATAAATAGGAGTTTTATAATTTAAAAGAAAACTTAAGAAGAACTTCTGGGAAAAGGGAAGAAAACATGCAAAATCATAGAGGGGTTAGGAAAACATGGAAAAGTTTGGAGTAAGGGCATGGCCAGATTCTGAAGGCTAAGGATAAAACACAGTGAGAGAATAAATCAAGAAGGATTATGGATGCCTTATGGAGAATGTGGTTCTTATCAGGAAGAGAGTTGAGAACCCTTCAGTACTTTTATTAATTGAGGACATAAATTTGCATTAGATAAAACGCTGACTTTTTTGTAGAGTAAGGGAGAGAAGAAGCAGTGTCCCAGTGATCAGTGACCTAGGCAAGAAATGTCAAGATCCTAAACCACAGAACAGAAGTAGAGATTTTAAAGAGATTTAAGAAATAGACTCAACCTAATTTTATGAGCAGAACACAGTTGGTAAGACAGAGGTGATTCCTAAGTTTTCTGACTAGAGGCAGTAATTGACCTGTTGTATCCTAAGGAAGCCTAAGAACGTAGGAGAAGAGTTGAGAGACTGAGACTCAAGGTAAAAAGTACAAACTTACAAACTATGCAGTGCCTTGCAAATACATCAAAAGTTTGCATATGACACTACATTGAAGGAGCAATGGGAGGCAGGAAAAGAATACATTTAATTTAAACATTCTCAATTTGATATTTCTGAGAACATGCAGTCAGAGATTTTGAAAAACAAAGACATTTGGATCTAGAGCTCAGAGCAGTCAGTATTAGAATATGCCTGTGGGAATCATTGGATATGGAGATAATTGGAGCCTGAACAATAGATAACATAATATAGCAAAACTGAGCATAGACGAGGCAGCTAATCTGGAACTTTGGTACCTCAGGAAGGAGTGTTTCATGTTTACCTTTGTGCACCGCGAATAGAAAGTGCTCAGTAGATAACTTGTTGAATGAGTGATTGAGAATGCAGTGCCATTAAGAGCAATGAATGTATCCAGCCCTGCCAGTGGCAGGTAAGGGATTAGAATTCCATTATCAGTTCCTAGGAAAATTGCATTAGGTTGTTGCCCTTTGAGAGAGACTTTGGAAATGCTATGACTCACTGCTTCCTGCTGCTAGAATGAGATCGTGAAGGATGCCTTCCTCATCAGCACCTGTGTTGTGGATACTGTCTTACCCATAATGTAGCCTTTATGGTGGTGATAAAATAAGTAACTTAGTTATCTGCAAGACAAAGCAGTTTCAGTATTATTCCTGATAGTTAAACAATTTATAGTAGCTTTTAGGTTTTAGTCTCTATTTTAATCAAGTTTTTGTTTACTCATTATACTACTACTAAATGGAAATCTTGCTAAATATTTCAAAAATAAGTTCTCCCCCTTTAAAAAATAATAAGTGGTTGGCTTTCTAATATATGATCTTGGGAGCTAATTAGGCTTTGATAAAGATGTTAATAAAGTTTTTAATCAATAAATCACATTGCTATATGTATTATCTCCTTGATTGCTGAAGCCTTGTATTCATGATTCACAGTTATTGTCTTCCTAAGTTATTTATGTTCCTGTTCTTAATCACATAATCCAAAGGTTCTTTTTCTCTTATTTGTTCCAGTTTTATAAATTTACAGTTGTTCATAATACAGGAAAAAGAAAGTCAGTTTGAATAGTATTCCAGACTCATTTTCTTCAAGATAAAGTGTCCCCCCGCTTTTTTTTAAAGAATTTTAGAATAAAGACTTTAGAATAAGGCAAACTAATGAAATATATTCACATTTCTAAATTACCAATTTTTTCTACTGGAAAAAGTTGTTGTTTTTCTTGTAGGAACATAAAAACGTGCAAGCCAAAGTCTGCTTCAGTATTTCCTCTCAAATTGAAACCACCTTTTCCAGTAAAATCAACCAGATGATCAAACAAACAAGGAATGCGACATCCCTGGACCCAATAATGTTTTGTTTCAGGGGAAAGTATCAACTATCTGCAGATAGTAATCATTTTGGTGACACACAGATGAGTTAAGCCACTAACGAGCAAGAGCACACCTGTACCTTCATTGTCCCAGGCATGGTGCTGGGAGTGTGTTTTCTTATTATATCTGTCCCTGTATCACAATTGCAGGGAGTAGTTTTGTACTATTCAACAACAGATGCAAAGATAGGTCCAACAAGGTTTGCTTAGAAGTGAACAGCAGAGTTGGAATTCTACTCCAGCTCAGATGCCAGTACTCTTTGGAGTACTGTGTCTGGATATTAACTTCCTACCCAGGAGGGTATTTACAAATGACAGTTCAGGGTTTGACTTTAGAGGTAATTGAAAATAAAGGTTGTAAATCTTTTAAAAATAATCATTTAATTTATGTTAAATCCAGAGGAGAAGAAAGATCTGAGAAGCATAAAATTTAAGTTTGAGGAAGAGACTGAAAGAGGGAACAGTGCCGGGTACTGGAGGAACACAGCAGAAGTAGAAGCTCAAAGGCCCAGGGAAGCAGTTTCAGTTCTTACAGTTAGAAGTTCTAGACAGTATAGGCCTTGAAACAAGTGAACCTCCTGCACTAGAACTATCTAAGCAGAGCCCCAGCAATTCTTTTGAAGTATTCTCAAATGAAAGATTATACTTAAGTGCCTTTTTAGATACCTTCCACTAGGGTCAATCTATACCAATCGATGCTACCATCATCCAGGACTATGGACCTGAATGTTGTAATGGAATGTTTAAGGTGATGTCAGCATCCTCGTGCTTGCCCTAAGTATAAGCATCTTCATCTCATTTGCACACCAGAGGGAGATGCTCCCTCTTGGTACTCATGAGTTTTCCTGGGACTTTAAAGGGAGAATTTTAATGATGAGCAGTTAAAAATTACTTAGATTGGTTACCTGGTCTTTCAGTGCCAGGATAGCTATTCTTTTATAATTTCTCTTAGGCATTTCAGAGTGCATCTTTTGTTTCCTATGATTCTCTACCTAGTAGCATTTGTCAACTTTTTTTTTTTCATCATCTCTATCCTTTCTCCTTCCAAATATCTCCTGCCTAGCTCCCTCCCATTTTGCATTCCTTTCTTTCTCCAAATCATTTTTAACCACCTCTTTAACATTTTACCAAAAATGTTAGACTTAACAAAAGGAAGTTAGTAGTTAAAACTGGTTTCAATAGTAAGAAATGCCACCAGTAGTCAACACACATACTTATTTTTCTAGCATGCAAAGTGCTCCACAACTAATTGCTGATTAGGGAGTTGGCATTTATTTATAAAAGTTACAGTTCACATTTTTTTTCATTGCTGATTTTCACTCTTTTGTGCTGGATCTTATCTCTATTGGAAGAATTTGAGAGGTTGTTTTGTATTCTAAAGTAATTATTGTGGTGGAAACTCTCATTGTCACTTTCTGAACTCCCACAGGCTGTGTTTGATGTGGACAAAAAGAAGGGGCTGACCCTGATTGAACTCTGGGAAGGCCTGACAGTAGAAGAAATACAGAAGAGCACTGGGTGTGATTTTGCAGTAAGTGTTTTCATGAGCAAATCCAGGCTCATGTGCTGTACCCTGGGCTTGATGCATGGGCATTTACAGGACATTGATTTGTGATTATTTGAGAAGTTGACCTCTGCAGTGAAAAGGAGTGGAAGGAAAGGTGCCTTCGGATGAGAGCAGATGGGAGCAGGAGCTGTGCTCAGATTCATGGGCCAGTGCTTGGCTCAGGAATGAGAGCAGGGGTGGAAAGAGCCACCAGGAGCAGCTGGAGATGCAAGGGTAAACTTGAGCTCTAAGCTACTTTCTGAGAAGTCCCTGGCAGTCCTCTACTCTTTTCAGTATGTATCAACTGTAGTTCAACTTGATTACCTTAAAAATGTGAGCCATTCATGGAGAAATGATACTTTCTTATTTTAAATCCATCTATGAGTTAGGACTTTCTCTTTGACTTAACTTCTATGCTCATTTTTCCATCCATCTCAAGTATTAAAATGTTAGACTTCTGACACCACCAGATTATATTCATGAAATAGTAGTATCCTGCATTTGAGGTAAATATAGTGCATAAAACATTCAGACTCACAAAGCAGGTGAATACATAAGGGGAGTAGCCATTTAAGAAACCTGCAAGTCCCCTTTGAAAACAAAGAGAACAATACTGAAATATAAATGATTCCCATTTAATATAAAAGCTTTTTCACAAATCACCAAGCATCTACTTATTGAGGATGAACAAGGCAACTCAGTCCATATGAAGTTAAGCAAAGGAAAGGTAATATGTCTTTGAAACAAAGGAAAGGGCTTGGAGGCTCAGCTTTTTAAAGAATTGATTTACTAATTACAATGAAATATCATGAGAAGAAAATATGTTAATGTTGCAACTACACATGTTGGAGATACTAATTTAACAAAAATTATGTGGCAAGTCTTGCGTACATTTCATATGTAACTTCCTGTGTACTACATGCTTGACTTGTACCTAGTAGTGCATAACAGAGTTCTTTAGAACAAATTTGTTGCATGATTTATTATCCACATACTATAGCTGTTCCTGACTGAACCAAGGTCTTTGTCTGTTAACCTTTGCTGAATTTCTTTTTGGAAAAAACCAAAATGTCTTCTAATACCCTGTTTGAAAAGTACATCTTTAATTAGCTTCCCAGTAACCTCAGGAGAATAAAAGGGATTTGTTTACACTTTAACTATTTAGAATTCTTACTTCAGTGATAAAAGCAAACAATTCTTAATCAAACAACTGTTCTTTTTATTTTTTTAACCTGCATGAAAGAGTTAACCTCTTTGTCTAATAACATTTTTGGGGATCCATAGATTTTCAGTTTTCTGTTTCAAAAGAGAATACAGCAGAAGGCCTTCATTATCTAGTTCTTTTTTATTCATGTGGGTAAATTAAAAGCAGCAGAAGATGAATTTTTGCTTTTTTTTTAAACCCTGCTAGTTTCTACATTGAAAATTATCTCTGTGGTCCGGCTTGTATTCCAGCATTATTCCCTCTTTTTATTAACTTTTAACTGATACATAATGATATATGATTTAATGTTTCAATGCATGTATACATTGTGTAATGTTCAAATCAAGGCAAACGTACATATGTCTTCAGACATTTATTATTTCCTTATGATGGAAACATTCAACATACTTTCTTCTTGCTTTTTGAAATATACTTTATGATTGTCGCTAGTCATTGTACTGTATAGCTCCACACCAGAACTTCTGACTCCTTTGTAACTGCAGCATAGTAGTCATTGATCAGCCTTTCTCCATCCATCCTTACCTTCCCTTTCCTTACTTTCCCCACCTTCTAGGGCTACTCTCACCTTCTGTCAGATTGACTTTTCTAGATTCCACATATACATGAGACCATGTGGTGCCTGGCTTTCTGTGTCTAGCTTATTTAGCATAATGTCTCCAGTTCCATCTGTATTGTTGCAAATTACAGAACTTCATTGTTTTTTATGGCTAAATAGTATTCAATCATGTATATGTGCCACATTTTCCTTATCTGTTCATTGGTGGGCACTTAGGTTGTTTTTAATTCTTAGCTATTGTGAATAGTACTGTATTGATTGTGGTAATACAACTCTCTTCAACATACTGATTTCATTTCCATTGTATGTATATAAATTTACATATCCAGTAATAGTAGGATTGCTGGATCATATGGTAGTTCTGTTTTTAATTTGTGAGAAACCTTCATATTGATTTCCACAATGGCTGCACTAATTTATATCCCCACCAGTTGTCCCTTTTCTGTGTAATCTTGCCTGTGCTTGTTATCTTTTGTCTTTTTACAATTGAAGTAAATAGCTTTTGTTTTTCTGATAATAGCCAATCTAACAGGAGTAAGGTGATTACCTCACTGTGGTTTTGATTTTCATTTCTTTGTTGATTAGTGATGTTGAGCATTTTCATATAACCTGTTGGCCATTTGTATGTCTTCCTTTAAATGTCTATTGAGGTCTGTTGCCCATTTTTAATTGGTTTGTTGTCATTTGCTATTGAATTGTTTGAGTTCCTTTATATATTCTGAACATTAATTTTTGTCATGTATGTATTAATATATGTTAACCCTTTGTCAGAAAATGTTACAAGTATTTTCTCTCATTTGTCTCTTTTCATTTCTGTTTTCCTGTGCCTTTTTGGCTCTTATTTTTTTTAAAAAAAATCCTTGTCCATTTCAGTATTCTCACACTATTTATTGTAAACAAATATTCTTTTTCTAATTCATGCTCATAGCACCTTTGTCAAAAAACAGTTAGCTGTAGATGCATGGGCTTGCTTCTACTATCTCTGTTCTGTTCTATTTGTCTGTGTGTCTGCTTTTATTCTAATATCATGTCATTTTAATTACTGTAGGTTTGTAGTGTATTTTGCAGTCAGGTAGACAAAGCTTTGTTCTTTTTGCTCAAGATGGCTTCGGCTATTCAAGATTTTGTTTTTGTTTTTGTTTTTTTCTGGTACCATATAAATTTTAGAATGTTTTCTATAGTTCTGTGAAGAAAGTTGTTGGCATTTTATTAAGAACAGTGCTAAATCTATAGATAGATTTAAGTATTTGAAGACTGCAGGCATTTCAGCAATATTGATCCTTCCAATCCATGAACATGAGATATCTTTCCATTTTTTGTGTCTTCAATTTGTTTGACTAATGTATTATAGTTTTCATCTGTTAATGGGTATTTGGCCACTGTGAACATGGTTATGCAAATCACTCTTTGAGATCCTGCTTTGAAATTTTCTGAATATGTACCAGGAAGTAGAATTACTGAATCACATAGTAGTTCTCTTTTTAATTTTTTGAGAAACCTCCATACTGTTTTCCACAATGGTGGCATCATTTTATATTACCATCAACAGGGAACAAGGTTTTAGTTTCTTTACATCCTCACCAACACTTACTTTCTGTTTACTTGTGGTCATACTAATGGGTGCGAGTCAATGTCTCCTCCTGACTTTGATTTGTATTTTTCTCTTGTGATTACTGATGTTCAGCATCTTTTCATCTGCTTTTTGGCCATCGTGTGTGTGTTGTCTTTGAAGAATTACCTATTCAGTTGCCCACTTTTTAATCAGGTTATTGTTCTTTTTTTGTTGATTTATATAATTTCTGTATCTATTCTGTGCATTAATCCCCTTACCATATACATGACTTGAAAATATTTTCTCCTATTTGATAAATTGCCTTTTTAGTTCTGATTATTTTCTTTGACACACAGAAGTTTTTAAGTTTAGCATAGTCCTCTAGCCTTCATTTTTGCTAGGACCCAACATTGTCACAACTAAGGAACCCTTTGGCATATTTTTCTCCCACTGCCCACACATTTTGAAAGAAGTCTGTACCCCAAACAGTTAGCAAGTAATAATTTATTTTCAAAGAATCAAAATGATATTGCACATTTCTTCAGGACTAAAACTGACAAATTAATGAAAATGTCAAATCCCTTTATTTTGTCTATACTTATATCATTCAGTGTGTTTCTTGATGGGTCAAAGTAGGAAGAAAGGAAAAGAAAAGGTGGCATCCTAGCACTTAAATTCCCTTGTCTCTAAAATGTCTTTTTGCAGTGAATGTTGAACTAAATTATCTATTCTTTTCTTTCTTTTCTGATGAATGCTTAAGTTATATAAAATTGTTTTTCTTTACCAAGTGTCTATGGATCTTTTTCAAAACCATTTTTTAAATTCAAAAAACCAAAATCAATTTAAGCCCTATTTGAACATCCCATGGTAGAATAAACTCCCAAAGATCATTAGTCATCTGATTATTTATTGAATACCCTATGTGTGTCACATACTGAGGTATGAAATGTGAAAAACTTGTACTAATTGGTATAGTTCTTCTCCCAAGGGTGTTGGTCTTATTCCCCAGCCAAGAATACACGCAAACTGCCAGTGCCAAAAAAATTAAATAAAAGCATCACTTATTTATGTGTTTACAATGGAATCTGAAAGAAGCTAGCTGCACACATTCTTTGCCAAATTCAATAAATTTGTCCCCTCAATATCTATTACGAACTGGCATTATATCAGAATTAAACAGTATACTCCTGAGATTTCAATTGTCTGAGAAGATAAACTGTTGGCTTTTCTTCTGTACTTAAAGCACATTGTCTTGTGCTTAGTCTGTAGCAGAAAAATGTGCTTTGGATTGCATGGGCTTAAGATGTTGATGGGACCATGAGAGAACAGAATAAGAAATGGTTAGGTAGATGTTTTTCATTACAAAAGAGACAAGCCAAGTCAGTTTACATAAAGCTTCATCTTCTTTTGCGGAAGTCAATTTCCACATCAAGGATGTGAATGATGTTAGGAACTGAAAATAGGGCTGACCAACAAGGAAGAGGATCAGATGTTTATGTTTAACAATTGAGATGACCAGTTTCCTTTTAAGGGAAATGCTATAAAGCATCTATTGGAAAGAAATTGTTTTCAAGAAAGAATTTCATGTCACTTAATTATTTCTGCAAATGCTCTGTTAAAAAAAAGAAAATGAGTTGTTTGTGAGTCTTATTTATCTAAGTACTAAATTCACATATGTCTTTTCTTCTCAATAGAACTGAAGGTCTGTGCATATGGGATGTTGCTTTTGTCTATTTATTATATTCCATTATTGTGTCTATTATTATACATCTGCTTTTGGACATGGCAAGAGTAAATATGCTTCATTTATCCTAAGCTGGATGCTAAACTATAATGATCTGATTTGGTTTCTTTTCCTCCCTCTTTTTTTTTCCTCTACTGGAGCTTGAACTCAGGTCCTTGTACTTTGTTCTACCACTTGAGCCATGCCCCCATGGCCCTTTTTGCATTGGTTATTTTTCAGATAGGGTCTTACATTTGTGCTTGAGCTGACCTGTGCTGCCTGTGTATCTGGGATAACAGGTGTGCACCAGTATGCTAACTTTTTGCCCAGGCTGATCTTGAACCATGATGCTTCCAATCTCCACCACCTGGGTAGCTAGTATTACAAGTGTGAGACACCATGCCCGGCCTTTATTTATGATTGTTTTATTTTTATTTATTATTTTTTTTTATTTTAGTAGAACAGTGGAAGAAAGGGCTTTAAGGGCATTGTAAAGAGTTGATAAATTATAAATGAACTGAAAATATTTTACCTCATCAAAGTCAATTGATTGCCTGCTCCTTCAATTTTCAGAGCTCACTTAACCCTTCTGCTAGTTCTTTGAAGTTTATCTAATCATCCATTCATTCATTTGTTCAATTATTAATTTTACAAAGTGTTAATTGTTTGTCCTGGAAGGCAAAAATGCTAATCTGGCCTACTTACATTGCCTCATACTTGAGGTATTGAAAAAAAAAAATCACCTAAATTTCAATATTCCCTGTTTTGCTTCTCCATGACACTTCCTAACAAAAACTCAATGGATATTAACCACATTGAATTGAGAAATCTGAAGCTGGTGCCATATTGACCTGTCACAATTAAGCCAGACCACTTCCATTTGGGTTGCTCCTACCAGCAACTGTGCCTTTTCTCTACTTTAAGACTTCCAGGAAGGCATTTGCCATTCTGTAGACTGAAAATAATTAAAATCAACATTTAATAATTTTAATGCTGTTATCATCTTTTTGTAATAACTTGGAATCCTCACTGCCTTTGTATCATTTCTTTACTAATTATGAAATTTCTGATAAGATTTATCATTGATCATACATCACTTCATTAATATATATGCAGGAAATCCAAAGACTACAAAAATTACAAATTAACTGTATCTATTTTGAGGATGTGGAGACTTGTATTTTACACTATATTGAGTGAAGGCATCAGAGGCAACAGTCTTGGAGATCAGTGATCCATCCAACAGAGGGTTTGGATATCAGGACCCTTTATTTGTCTTTCTCTGTTCTTCTTCTACCCCTTCTTGTTGCCAGCCCCAGTCATCCTTAATTTAGGAGCTATAGTGCAAGAAGGTTGAGAAACACTAAATATTCCAAGTGTCTTTGTGTTTCAGAATAGGAAATAATAATGAAACTTCAGATGATGGCAAGGCTGCTTATTGCTTACATTATAAGTTTGGAAATCCAGTCACTCCTGTAGTCCCAGCTACTCAGGAGGTAGCGATCAGGAGGATTATGGTTTGAGGTCAGCCCAGGCAAAAAAAAAAATGTTAGCAAGTCCCCCATCTCAACAAATAAACCAGGCATGATGGTACATGTCTATAATTCCAATTATACAGGCGGAATAGTTAAGAGGATCGTGGGCTAGTGCCAGGCAAAAATACCAGACTATTTGAAACAAAAAAAGGGGTATGGGTTTGGTTCAAGTAGTAAAGTGCTTGCCTAGCAAGCATGAGTCCCTAAATTCAAAAACCCCAGCGCCACCAAAAAGAAAAAGAAATTGGAAATTCTAAAGAGATATGTGTATACCATATGATTTTTCACAATTTGATTTTTTTTTCTTTTTCTCTCTTTTTTTTTAACCAGGTTTCACCAAAACTCATGCCAATGCAACAGATCACAACTTGAAATGTGGAGTAGATGTTTGTTCTTGGCTGACAGATTTTCATTTTAAACACATAAGATATAATTGAAAGGATTTCAGTAATGGCAATTTATATATTTAACAGGCAGTTTTGACAGCCATATAGACTTTGTTCTTTCCAGTGTGCATTGACAGTTTAATGAAAAACAAAAGGAAAACATTTTATGATTACCTTATTTGTTTCATAAGTGCTGAGAAAGTTGTTTTTACCATTGGTGCTGACATTGGGTGTATCTTCATCATCTAGGCCATGCATATGAAAATCATGTGTACTATTCACCAAAATGAACCTGAATGAGTTTCATTCCTATGATTTCCCTCATAACCAAACTATGACTTAGTGGTCCTGAATTTATGTGAATTTATGATTGTTTTTCTTTCACCCTTCTCTGACTTTTTGTGGGGCCTCCAATTTTATGATTACATCTTGCCTCCCTAGAGCATCTCACCTTCCTCCCATACTTCTTGTACCCAAAAAGGCAAGAGGAATATCTCTGGGGTGGGGGTTGGGGTGGGAAGAAGTAACTGGTCTGTGAAAGACACCAAGAAGTATAAGATCTAATGATGCTGACAGCCCACTAAGGAGTTGCCTTAATCAACTATCTACCTATGTTTTGCCAAAGGCTGAGGCTAACATAGAAAGAAGGCTATAAACCTACTGATTTACCCACATAGTTCTTCCATTGTGTACAGAAGGATCCTTAAGATGGTTTCTTCTACTAAGACCCAATGAGCTATTTGTACAACATTTCCTCTTAGACCAAGGGCTGTCTGTAATTTATCATGAATCCTTAATCACAATGACAGTAAAGTGTTTTTTGTTTTTGTTGTTTGTTTTGTTTTGTTTTTAATGCTACTAAAAGATACTTTTCCTTTTAGGCTCCCACTTCTGCTCAGAAAAGATGCTAAATAGTGAATGGCTTTCTATAGAACAGTGTTTTTTCTTCTGCCTAGACTACTTCTTTTAACAAAGTACTATTATTCAGCCTTTTCCATCTAGGTGAAATGATGATGGGCAAGTCCCAGATTTGAAGAGTTAGTGAGTGAACTTTTAGTGTTGTGGAGTAAACAGGTTGATTAGGGTAACAAGGACTGCTTCCTCAGAGGTTTCCTCATTACCAGACAGTTACCCAGAGGAGTTGCTTCAGAAGTGTCCTAGGTAACAGATGGGAGAAAGTTTAGACACCCTGAAGCCAAGCTGGACAGCTGGCCTCTGGAGAGGAGCACTTCTGCCACTAATTATAGGAATTTATGTATGTTTTTAGGTGATGTTGTCACTGAAACTCACTTGGCTTCAAGTACAGTTATAACTGCATCACAATACAATATTTGAGGAAGAATAATTTTTTTTTATTAGTGGCATACTCCATAAGTAAAACAGCCTTTCTGACTAGCATGCATGGTTGAAAGCATACTTTCCCAGTACTGGTAAAAAATATCCTTCTTAGACTATGCAAGGTTCATGAAAGTAATATATGTCTATATTGGAGTTATGATTTGGAAAACAAATACATTGTTGATAGTTATTATATCTTCAGCCTTACTTACTTATCATTCCAGTCTGTTACTTTAAGATAATATGAATCTAAGAATGTTCTAAACATTGATATTCTTGATTAAAGAGTGCCATGATGTCAATGCATTAAGAAATTCAATAAAGAGTCTAAATTGATAGAGATCAGTGTGCCTGTCTTTTTTCTCATCTGGGAATGATGTGGCTGAACATGAGAGTGATAAAACAGAGATTATCAAAATAGCCAAAAATAAAGTCAGCACACTTTATCACTTCCAACCAAGTTGTTGCTTTTCTCTTTAACTTACTGAAGAAAAGATATTTCTAGTCTGGAAAGAATTAATAATACTATACCTAAATGAATTCTGCACCATGTTTTATATTAAAGCAAGTCATGTGTCTATGAAAGTTGATTATCAAGGCTTCACATGTTAATATTTTTGCTTTTACCTAACATTTTCCTTTATGATTCACATCCATTATTTAATTTCCCAGTTATGTTCGGTCTTGTTGTATTTCAAAATGTCTCCTGCTATTCTGCCCAGCATCTGTGCTGCCTCTCTAGTAACAGACTCACTTCCTGACCAAAGGTTGACCAGGTTCCTAGGATGTGTCACTTTTGACAGATCACCTCCATCCACTCTTGTTATATACAGGGATTGGCACATGATCCAGGATGTACCAATCATGTTATTTCTCCCATATTTAAAAAGTTGAGATGAGAGCGAAGTCAATTTTCTTATTCCTCTCTGGCCAACAAGCCATAAGATGTGATTTAGCACCAATACCAGTCTCCCACTACACACGCGCGCACGCACACACACACACACACACACACACACACACACACACACACACACACACACCTGAGCTGCAGTTGGAAGGAAAAGCTGACACACAAATGCATAGAACCATAACGAGGTAGCATCTTCAGAGTATTTGGGGTTCTTCTGGATGTATCTAAGGACAACTTCCCTCCAGTAGTACCTGCACATGAACTCCCAAATCTCCCTTTTTGCTTGAGCTGGGTCTTTGTCAACTGTAGCCACAGTATAATCTCATACAGCTTTTATAATTTTTGAGTTCTGAGAGGGGCCTGACTCCCTATAGAAATTAAGAATAATGCAAGCAAAACTGCTTATACCTGGGTCCAGAGAACATATGTAGGTATATTTATGGATGTTACCAGTAAGTAGGAAGGTTGTTGATAGTTTTCCTTCCTTTGCCATTTCAGTGTATCCAGCACAAGTTTGGACTGTTATTCCCATTAAGTATGAACAGAGATTTAATCAGTGGATTTTTTTAGGGGGTACTGACCTCCCTTTTTTTCAGTCATAATCTTGAGTTTCTTAAACTTAATTTCAAATTCTCTATTTTTAAAATGGGGAGAATATATTATTTTCCACTATGATTTGATAAGATGAATTTAATATATTTGATTGCAGATAAAAATGCTGGGTCTTTATATTACCTTTGGACAGAATTTTCCATTGTTCTTGTCCTTTCACTTTTCAGTGTCTAGGCTATCTTCCCATATGGCCTGGAGATCAAACTGAATATCAAACTGAGTTTAAGCATAAATACAATAAATGTAATGTGATCTGATTACACAGCTTTGTGACATATTCTTGAAGTCCTCTATCTTCATAAAGATAGACATGTCCATCTCTAAAATCAACCAAAGTTGCATTTTGTGGATCAAACAGCAGTTCCCATAAGAGTCATGGCTACACCAATCTAGACAAACAACTGATAAGACAATTCCTTCCCTTAAAGTCACAATCAAATACAAATCATGTTTCATTGTGAACACCAAGTATGCTTTATTGTTGTCATTATGACTCTCAATGGGACACGCTCTTTGAAAGGACCACAATCCTGGCTCTTTTGTAGCATGACCCACAGCCATGTCAGTATTTCAGCTGACAAAAACTGCATCCTGGGCTCTTGGTGTATCCACTCTGCATTTCTGGCTCATTCTTTAGCAGGTAGGCATTCCATCTCTTACCCTTTCTAAGCTTCCAAGAGGAAATTAGCTCCAGAAGGTTGCACATAAAATTCTGGTGTTCCCTTTGAAGCAAGCCCCTCTCTCAATTTAGGGATAAGAGATAACATCTCCCACTTTGCATTCTTGAGATTGGAATGTCCAGCATTCTCTTCAAATCTCTATAAATTCTGCTTTCATCTCCAGCTTCCAGCTCTTATACACACCCAGTGTGGGTAAGAGTTAAAGTTCTATCTGCTCTCAGACAGAAATTACAGAGCTAGGGCACAATGGTGGGATTTTGGTTTTCTTTCAAATGTATGTATTTGTGTAACAACTCCACAACTGGCCCATGGTACATTCTAAATGTGTTACTGAATCAACTTAGTAGTTGAAAACATGGTTGATAGTATGCGAGGCATGGAGGATTGCCCTCAGATAAAGTTAGATAGGACTTCACAGGGAGAGATAAAAAAGAAAAGAGGTAGAATTTGGAGGCTGTAACAGGAATAAAGAACAATCACCCATATTTGTTTAAACACTTTCATAATTTATAAAACACCCAGTATATGCTAGGTAACTTATTTGATTTTCACAGTAACCTGCCAGAGAGACATTATTACTTCCATTAAAATTAACTTGATTAGTCTGAGAGAAGTAATATCCACCAGTTCTTTAATCAAATTAGCCTTTCAGGGCTAATGTTGGATTTTACCAAGATAGTAAATGATATGTGAATTAAATCCCCTGAATAGAACTAGATTTGTTCTCCATTAATCCATAAAACAGAGTCCAAACCCTTTAAACAAAATGAGACAAGTATTCAAATTTTTGTTCCTTTCTCTCCAAACAATTTTTGCTTAAGGAAATGGGTAACTTTCAAAACAAAAATGATAATGACACCCACCAGGCAAAATATCTCTGTGGAAGACTCATATTTATCTGGATTTGTTCACATAGAAGGCTTTGTGTGGGAAACCACAGATAATAAAGCTCACCTACAACCGGTAGAAAAGCCTGGCACTATTTTATCTTTGTAGCTGAACACCTTTCTCAAATTTGTCTTCCTTGGCATTAACCTTCTCCCCCATGCATGAAGTCAGAGTTGTATTTCAGATTCATTTGAATGCAGAGGATCAGTCAGTAAGATCTAGTAAAATTCCCTCCATAAGGAAAGATAGGACAGAAGAAATCTGATCACAGCATTGGAGCCTGAGGAGCTGTTGGGAGTGAGAAGGCATTAGGACTGGGTAAGACACATGCTGTATGAGAAGATTTGGTGTTACTGTCATATTTCTTTGAAAACTAGACACCATTAGTTTTAAAATGGACTATCATTCTGTTGGTTTTCTTGCAGTTAAAAATTTTATTGCGTACATATTAAGAATTTTTATACTTCCTCTCAGTGCCAAATGAGTTCATGAAATATTTCCTTAAAGAAGGGTTATTAGGTAGGTACTCTACTGCTTGAGACATACCTCACTATGCCAAAGGACCCAATGAAGCCCACAAGAATAATTTAAAAGAAGACATACTACAGGTACTCAATGAGAATTTTATAGAGATGATACTGGATATGGTCAACCAAAATGTACAGGAGACACTCAAGAAATTCCAAGACAACAAAAATAGAGAATTTGAAAAAGCAAAAGGAGACATACCTCATCCAAGGTGCCCAACAGCTGTGAATGGATCAAGAAAATATTACATACACACACATCTGTACACACACACACACACACACCATAGAATATTACTCAGCATAAAGAAAAATGAAATTATGTCATTTGCAGGAAAATAGGTGGAACTGGAGATTTTCATGCTAAGAAAGATAAGTCAAGCTCAAAAGGCCAAGCATCACATATTCTCACTCATTTGTGGAACCTAGACATACAATGTTGATGATAGTATTAATAATAGGACATGAACGTATATGGGGGACTTTCTACTGTGATGGGGCAATGGGAAGATAGGGAGGGAAAAAG